AATTTTTTCTCCCAAAGGTTCTTTTTCTTTATGTAACTTCAAATGTGGTTGGTATAGGGTATGACCATGAAGATGAGATTAATCCAACAGTGAGTAAAAGTAATGCATTATAAATCACTTAAAAGTGATATACGTTGGCTTTTGTCATATTTTAAAAAATAAATATTATTATTTTTCTTTAAATGTTACATTCAATTATTTCACTTTGTGGTCTTACCTGCTTAGAACGAGATTGCATTCACTAAAGGATATATGTAACGCCTAGTCGTATTAATATTAATCTCAATAATATACATATATATATATATATATATATAATATTTATAAATAGAAAACATATGTATAGTAATAATATTATACATAATAACATACTAAAAAAACATATTTATCACTACGTGTTTAATTACTTACTTTTACATATATATTACACATTATTAAAAATATTTATAGTACGTGTCTATTTACATACTATAGTTTCTTTTTCTACTTCTATTGTAATATTTACATGGGTGGTTGAAACAAATTTACAATTGGATTCACATGGTTAGCGGACGGTAAAAAGAAAGTGACTATTATTGAGTCGTCAATCATTGTAGGGACTTCTTGGTCTGGGGAGAACGTAAAAGTTGACACTGCCATTCCATTAAATGTGACTGCGTTTGCCACTACATCTACACTCCATGTAGTACAGAAAATATTGCAGATATCACTGAGGGAAAAGGTCCTGGAATAACTGGCATATCCATATATATATATATATATATATATATATTTGTTTACATTATAAATAAATAAATAAAAATTAAACAAGAAACATAAGGAGTGAGAACAATAATTCAATAAATATTGCATAGAAATATTTAATACGAGAAAATATATTTTAATTCTTCTTGATATAAAATTTTGAATTATACTTGTAGTGACTAGTCAAGATAAATGAACATCATCATAATATCAACCAATAAAAGGATATTTCACCTTAACTAACAATAGGATATTTCACCTTCATACCTTACTCATTTAAATCTCCAAGGTCAAACCTCTAGCTACAAATAATTCAAACTTTATCTTCTATGGCCATAGAATAATATTTATCTTTAAAACGAGTCAAAGATATTTTAACAAAATTATATTATAGTCAATCATAAAAACAATCACGCTAAATAAATTTGAGTATTTATCATTATTTAAGCTTTTAAATAAATAAAATTTACGTAAATAAAATATATTAAAGAGCACCAATCAAGTAAATGACAATGATAATCATTATGAAATAATTAAACAATATGAAATATGAACATCTTAAAAAAGTAATCATAGGTCAAGCAAATAAATGAGGTTAGAGGCACCTCACTAGATAAATACACATAGAAATAACATAAATAAATAAACATAATAGTAGATAAAATTTTTAAGAGATAAAGTTCTCCTCTCCCTTACCTTAAAATAAGTAAATTTGCTATGTTTTCACTATTTCTCTCTTTACGTTCCCGTTTGCACTTTTTCTCTTCGTTCAAGTTGTGCTATTTTTGTGTAAATGAATGTGAAGGTGAATGTGCTATTTATAGGTAGATGACACCAGATGACACTACACATTACGTAATATGTATACGTAATCTATATTACTATATTACACTTAGATTTCTACTGCACCATACACGTAGATTTCTATCGCACCATACACGTAATCTACTATGCTCTTTATCTACTGACATTACATTATTACTATGAGTAATTATCTACATTTATCTTCTTTTTATTATGCCTATTATCTACATTTCATATCATCTTATTCTTACCATACACGTAATCACTATCTACCACGTAATCTTATTGTACGTAATTTTGTACTACGTAATCACGTAATCAAAAGCTTGCACCTTGCATCACATGGTCTTATCCATTTATCTAGTAATTTCTTTCATACAATATCTACTGCTACACATTCCTCCACTTATTATATATTGTGTACATGTAGTGAGTTGCAGTATGAGAAAAAAAATAAATTTTATTTAATTACTTATTAAAATATATATGTTATTATATACATTATAATAGGTAGTTTTATATATAATTATAATACTATAAATATTTATAAGATTATTGGATATCATACATATATATATATATATATGTGTGTGTGTGTGTGTATTTAAATATATTTACTTACATTAAAATATAAAATTTAAAAGAAATATTATTTTAAGAATTTATAATATAAAATTGAGAATGTTGTATCGCAAATTTAGAATATTACAATATATGTGGTATATACAAAAAAAAAATGTTTCATCCCATTCTAATTATTAACTATTGTTAGGATCCCTCCTTAATTGGAGAGGTTCTAGAAAATTTTAGAACTTTCTAGAAAAGTATAGAATTTTCTAGAACATTCTAGAGAATCCTAGAGAATTGTAGAATTCTCTAGAAGCTTGTGGAATAGTGTGGAACCCTCTGGATCATTCTAGAGATGTGTGGAGCCTTCCAGAACCTTATGGAAGAGTATAGAAGGATATAGAAGGGAGTAGAGATTCCTAGAATGTGTGGAGCATTCTAGAGAACCAATCTCAACCCTTGATCCCCACCATTCATTTTGAAGGTGGAGTAGTATAAATAGGGGTAGGAGGCTTCATTCCTATCCATCCAAGCCAAGAGTGAATCCACTTCTTAGAGTGAGAAAGTGAGAAAGCCTCTTTGTGAGAGAAGAGAGATAGTCTCAAGTTTGAGTGTGCCACCATAGAGTGAGTCAATTTTGTAATTACATTCTTGTAATCCTACTATTCTTTTGTATAGTGGAAGAATCTCCATATTGGAGAATTTAACTCGTGTGCTCCCATTACTACCTTTAATTTCTAAGTGCCTATCTTAACTTCACGAAGCGGGAAAGTCCAAGTTTTCCCAACAACTATTATAAGTAATGTGATAATAATCAAAACTACACAGTTAATAAGCGACTTTGCCTTCTTTCCTCATCAATTCCTTTTTCTTTCATCACTCTCCTGAGAAAGTTTTTTTTTTAGTAGAGTTTTCATTTTCATTTCTCAATCTCGTTCGTTCATCAGCAAATAACAAAGGTATCATTTTTGTAGTGTTTTACTTCATTTTTCTTTGTTATGTTTCTTTCTTGTTTTCCTTGGTTTTCTGGGTTTTTTTTCCCCACAATGGTTCTTTTTCTTTATGTAACTTCAAATGTGGATGGTATAGGGTATGACCATGAAGATGAGATTAGTCCAATAGTGAGTAAAAATAATGCATTATAAATCACTTATAAAAGTGATACACGTTGGCTTTTGTCATATTTTAAACAATAAATATTAAATTTAATTATTTAAATTTATAACACTAAAAACATATTTTTTTTCTTTAAATGTTACATTCAATTATTTCACTTTGTGGTCTTAACTGCTTAGAATAAGATTGCATTCAGTAAAGGATATATGTGGTATATACAAAAAACATGTTTCATCCCATTTTAATTATTAACTATTAATAGTAATGTGATAATAATCACAACTACATAGTTAATAAGCTTTCCTCATCAGTTCCTTTTTCTTTCATCACTCTCCTGACAAAGTTTTTTTTTAGTAGAGTTTTCATTTTCATTTCTCAATCTCCTTCATTCATTAGAAAATAACAAAAGGTATCATTTTTATAGTGTTTTACTTCATTTTTCTTTGTTATGTTTCTTTCTTGTTTTCCTTGGGTTTTTAGGTTTTTTTTTTCCCAAAGGTTCTTTTTCTTTATGTAACTTCAAATGTAGATGGTATAGGCTATGACCATGAAGATGAGATTAATCCAATAATGAGTACAAGTAATGCATTATAAAGCATTTATAAAAGTGATACACGTTGGCTTTTGTCATATTTTAAAAAATAAATATTAAATTTATAACATTAAAAACATTTTTTTTTAAATGTTACATTCAATTATTTCACTTTGTGATCTTACTTGCTTAGAATAAGATTGCATTCAGTAAAGGATATGTGGTATATACAAAAAATAATGTTTCATCCCATTTTAATTATTAACTATTAATAGTAATGTGATAATAATCACAATTACACAGTTAATAAGTGACTTTGCCTTTTTTCTTCATCAGTTTCTTTTTCTTTCATTATTGTCTTGAGAAAGTTTTGTTCTTTTCTAGTAGAGTTTTGATTTTCATTTTTCAATCTCCTTCATTCATCAAAAAATAACAAAATGTGTCATTTTTGTAATGTTTTATTTCATTTTTTTTTTGTTATGTTTCTTTCTTGTTTTCCTTGATTTTCTGGGATTTTTTTTCCCCCAAAAGTTCTTTTTCTTTATGTAACTTCTGATTTTGCCATCCTTATTTCATGGTTTTGTGAATTACATGTTTTTATCAGTAAGAAAGTTTGTTTGTTAAAAATGCTTGCTAGTGTTGCAATTATATTTCTATTTATTATACTGATATTTTTCTTTGTCGTTGTCATCGTCTTCTTATTAGTCTTCGACTTCTTATCATGTACAGTGTGTTTCTTTTCTCTTGGTTAAAAGCTCTAACCAAATCAATTGCTCATTTCTTGGTTAGAGCTTCTAATGGTGACCTACATAATTTTCATTACATCAGTAGATTATCTTTTCTCATATTTTGAATAAAGCACAACCAATCTATTTTTACAAAATAATGTATATATTATTAATATATAATCATTTAAATATATTAAATACATGATATTGACTTAAGTTAAAGCGACGCGAAAAATAATCTACACCCATTTATAAAATACATGAATCTAATTTATAAAACTAGACTATGTCAAAAATCTCATCCAACCACTAGATTAATGAAATAGGCAGAGTCATGAACAGGCGTAGTTGTGGAGAAAGACGAGTAAAATATTGACAAAAAAAAATGAAAATAGAATATAGTTGTGGTGTAGGAAATATAAATATAAATTATATAATAATAATATAAATTTGAATTGAAGCCCACCACAAAATTAAGAGAAAGAAAGGAGTCAAAATCCTTGAGCCACTAGATAATAGAGAGTGTGTTTTTTTGGACTCATATATCCTTGAAGAAGAGAAGCTTCATCCATTCAACCCAATCCAAGAAAGTAAGAAACACACGGCGGAGATGGCCACAGGAAGCCTCAACCTAAACCTAAACCTACTGGTCCTGAACCCGACGGTGGCATTCCCTGCGGCGCGCCCCACGGTGTGGCCGGCAGGCGCGGCGTCCGTGACTGTGAGTCGTCGGTTGCCGTCGGTGCGCGCGACGGTGGACGATTTCTTGGGGGATTTCGGGGCGAGGGACCCTTTCCCTGCTGAGTTGGAGAGTGGGTTCGGAGAGAAAGTGTTGGGATACGGTAACACTGAGCACAAAATTCTTATCCCCAATATCTCTGCTCTCTCCCTCTCGCAGCAGGACTGTGCCCCCATTTCCCCTCTCCAGCCCCCCATCTCCAAAGATGATGCACAAACGCTCGTTCGAAAGGTAACAACCATATCTCTTAATATATAATTAAATTATGATAATAGTGTCCAGTATTTATTAAAAGAAAAAAAAAATGCATCAATTTTTTAGACTGAATTATAATATATATTTTTATGTGAAATTATGAAACTTAAATATATTTAATGATTTTTTTAATATATATACTTGGATGGGTTCTTTTTCACACTGGTGTATTCTATACCTACTGTAGGAAATGGAAGAATATCTGGTCTTAAAAATGTAACAATATCTCATAATATAAGATGCGCTGTTGCCTTGAAAATGGTTATTAATACAACGATTTTTCCATGACAATTGACAAGGAGGGAAGCAAAAGGCTTTAAGATTTTTTTTAATTTTTAATTTTTTAATTTTTTTATTATCTCTTTTGAAGGTTTGACAAATACAAAAAAGATGAATATCTCTTTTCAACTTGAGTTTGATGCATTCTTAAGAGTTGGAACACACCACTTGGCTTTAAGAATATTTGATTAACCGGTTGAATGGGGGCAATTTATTTTTATGATTTTTTCCTTCTCAATCTGTTCCTTTGTAATGGGTGTTAGTTTTATAAACTCTCAAACACCGAATTGTGAGATGTTATAAATAGTTGAGAGAAATAGGGAAATAAATGGTATAAATTGTTGGTTGAATAACACATTTCTTTATTTTATATACTAAGGTCTGACTGAAAAAAATTCTCACCAAGTATTTATTAGAAAAGGAAAATATAAAATTGTCAATTTTTTTAAAATTAAAATTAACTTATACATAAATCTAAACTAATTTTTGAACGAAGTTAAATGCAAAAGTTTATATATATATATATATTAACTTATATATAAATTAATTTTAAATTACAAAGATTTTTTTTTGCTTTTCTTTTTTTATTTTCTTTTCTCATACGTACATGTTGAAAAATTTATCCAAATAAGAGTTAAAAAGTAAGAAGTACATGTCCCGACTGGTTTAGCAAATTTTATTCATAGTTGGTTAAAATATTCCTCCAAAAAACTAAGGAGTAAATCCTCGTTAACTATTTTTTTTTTTATATATATTTTTATTTATGAATATCCTTGTTAACTATGTGGGTTATAAGGAGTGAATTATTTGAGTTTAACTGATTTAAAACATTCTTTCTAACATATAGGTTAGGGTTTACTATCTTTTTGACGATTTTAGCCTTAGGAGTATTATTGTAAAATATCTTATGACAAATAATATTTCTAAAAAAAATTGATTTTTTATCATTTCAACCAGTGGGATAAGAATATTGAAGAAAAATTAGTCTCTCCCGTGCATCCTGTTAAAATTTTACATTAATCAGTGTTGGTCAAGTGTTATCGATGTTGTGGTATGGCTTGTCTCTATTTACACTCAGGATGTGGTACTCTGGTATAATGTCATGTATTTTGGGATAATGTGTAAATCAGGTGATGATGATAAAACACAACTACTCTTGATCAAAAGATTTTGATACCATGAAGATGCACGTCTTCTTTTGCCAATTTTTTAGAGTATATATGCATTATACAGAGTGCATGTCGAAGGTTTTATGAGGAAATAAGGGTTCTTAAGTTGTGGGGCTTGTGATAAAAATATGGTGAATACAGTGTTTGAATGCAATGCTGCTCTAAATATGATGAATATAATAAACTTTGTGATAAATCAACAAGCCAACCATTTTTTTATGCTCTGTTCTGAAAAATTTATCAATGATATTGAAGAAGCATTTAGTTGGACGTTTAGTACCATTAGCATTTTGAGTGGTAAATACTAAATTGCATGCCCTTTTATTATATTTATTTAGTTATAAAATTAAAAAAAACTTAACATAATTACTTGGTGGTGAATTTATATTTCTAAAAAAAGTTGAAATAACTTACCTTGTGGTCCATTTTACTTTTTCCACCTTAAACTTATTTTCTCTTCATTTCTGTAGGTTGTGGGTTGGAGACTTGTGGATGAGGAGGGTGCACTTAAACTAAAATGCTTGTGGAAATTGAGAGATTTTAAATGTGGGGTTGAACTCATTAACAGGATCTCTAAGGTTACAGAGGCTGCAGGCCATTTCCCAAATATATACTTGGAACAACCGAATCAAGTCAGAGCAGAACTATGGACAGCTTCCATTGGTAACAATAAATTTGCAACCTTGTGTACCACTTTCAATATCATAGAAAATTTTCATTTTAGTTGCATCACATCAAAATCCCTAAATATTCAACTTTCATTTTATTTAGCATTCATTTTAGTTATTGCTTGCAAGTTCAGGGTGTTCAACACCCCCCACACGGAACATCTAGGCCATAGTGGGCTCTAGTACCAATGTTTGTGTGTATAGGGTTTACTCATTATATATATCTCAAATATTGAAGTTACTTAAATAAGAACACTTATTGAAAAAAATTGAGAATAATAAGTATTGATCATTGAATCTTATTTGAACGGTCAAAATTAAAGCTAAAAACAACTTGTTTTTAAGCAGTCATGCAATTATTAACTTGTAAAGTGAACTATTCATGTATGATTATATAATTAAAAGTTATTATTCTTATGCCCCATGTATATTTATATATCTTATAACATGACATTTTCTAAATTTTGCAGGAGGTTTAAGTATGAATGATTTCATTGTTGCTTCCAAGATAGATGAAATAAAGACATCAGATCTTGTCCCAAGGAAAAGAGTTTGGGCTTGATGCCCCATGAACTCCATAAAACATTTTGGCATGCTATTTTCTTCAACAAAGAATTATCACTAGTTTGTTTGTTCTATTTGATTATATATTATTCTTTGCCCTTAGTTTTTGTTGTTTCACCCTCGAAGCCTGTGTACATGTGTCATGTCCGTTCTTGTTTGGTAAGTGTAACGATTTTCAGCATCCATAACTAAATTCTAATTTCTAAAACCAGCCATTTATATACCTCACATGCATGCCAAAACTTGGAGGGTTCTGCTAAGAATTGAGCATCATGATTCATGACTATTTGTGTGAAAAAGACATGCAATTTCTACTATAAAATATATTGTAAAACATGATTTTGCTTGGACAAGTACTTAATCAACACTTACCTTACATAGTACTTGTTGGAGCAAACTCAGTTTCATACTTTTGCTTGGGAACTACATTTCTGAAATAATAACGAGCGATTCAAACTGTATTTCTTTTATTTTTTTTAATTTTTAACAATTTGTATAACTCGTACCCATTGAGCCAATTTTAAACAAAATGGTATCATCTTCTATCACGGTTTTATGTCTAAACTATATCAATTTTAACTAAGTAAATCTATTGGTTCATTGATTGTAAAGTTTATCATGAAAATACACAGGGTTAACTTGGTGTTTCTAGGTTCGATTCTCGTCTTTATTAAAATAATGCTTAGTTAACATGAGTCATATTTTTCAAATGTAAATTAATTTTTAATTATTATCTTTGAGACACTACGTAAACTATATTTATAGATATTTTTGTTAATGATTACAAATAATTTTTTTAAAGTAAATACTAAACAAATAACTATAAAAATACTTAATAAAATAAAAGCAATTAAGTAAATTGGTATTTTAATCACGTATTTATTATATATAAGATATTCACAAATATATCTTTAAATTAATATGATATCGTTTACTTAATTTAGATGTAAGTTTTCATAAATTTATTGTTCATGATTCAATAATTTTGTATTTCGATAATATTAAATTATATGATTCTATTTTTTTAATAATAGTAAATTACGAAATCATCAACTCTAATAAAGTATTTGACATTTAAAAATGTAATCAACATATGACATTATGGTATAAAATATAGTTTTAGTCCCTCGTTAATATATTTTGTTTTGTTTTTGCTTTTTTTAAGTTAAGTTTAAGAAGTTTTTATTTTAACCTTCTAAAGAGGTGAAACTAAATTCAATATTTTTCTTTTTAAGTTACGATGTTAATTTTAACTGATGTAGTATCTTCTTTTTTTAGCCTATCATGTTAGTGTAGTAATCCGAAAAAAGAACAAATGTTTGGGATAATGAATAATGTTTATCGAAAAATCTGATAAATTACTTTTAGTGGTTTTTTTTAAAGATTTTTTTTTACTCACTCAGATCAACTATGTAACGATACACAAGAACCAATTGGATGTAACAAAAACACTTGAAGGAAATAAATTGAATATTTTTAATTTGGGAGAGCAAATTGAATAAAAAAATCTGAATAAACAACCAAAAATATATTTTAATCAATAAAAAATGTTATAGATAAATAAAAAGGAGAAAGCCGTAAAAAAAATAAAAAGGATAAATTTAGATAAAAATGAAATAAAAAACTAAAATATATTTTTGTCATCTTATTTTTTTTTTATTAAAATTTGTTTTGATCCTTTATATCTTATTTTTTATTAAACTCATTTTAATTCGAATAATTAAGGTTGACTTAATGATAAAAGAAGAGAAATATGTACAAAATGTCATATTTCAATTTTTTTGTAGTTGCTTATTTTTTTTTTATAAAAAAAATCAATTTAGTCTTTTAACTCTCCAATTTAAGTTAATGTTGTCATTCTGAAATAGTGATTATTTTTATTTTGGAATATAATCTGAACTCCTTTTTGGACCAATTGATGACATTGAATTTAATATATTAAATTTACTTATATGAACATTTTGAAATTTAAGTAATGTTCTAAAAAAAAAGTCATGAATATGGGCAAAATTATGTGAAAAGTCTTCTTGAAGCAACTGTAAAATTGAAAAGTCTAATATTATATTCTTTTCTAGTTACTTGTGAAACTCATTCTTTATGTAAATTTCACTAGGAATGTACTCTTTTTTGGTTTGAATATTAATTAGATTTCAAAGTTTATATGTACGTGAATTTAATGAAATAAACTTCATGTCTTAAAAAGATGTAAAATGATTTTAAATTATAACTTAAAAATCAAAATAATTATTGTTAAAAAAAGAATCAACTTAAACATTGAGGATAAGACGATTAAAATAAATCTTTTAAAAGAAATAATATTAAATGGCATTTTTAGCCTTCAATAATATCAATTCAACAATTTTTGTCTCTCAATTTCTATTTTTACAATTTTAATCTCTTTATTTTATAAAATTTTTAATTTTAGTCTCTCAATAAATGTTCATGCGTTGGTCGTAAAAATTGTAGTATTTTTCATGATTTAATGTTAGAAAAATGATACCATAATTAATTTTTAATAAAATTTAGATTAGATTACAGTTTAGTTTTCAGTTTTGACCATTTTTTTAATCTCATTTCACCACTTTTATGAGATAAAAGTAAGAATTAAAAATAAAATTTAGCTTAAATATTATTAAATATTAATTATTATATCAACTACTTAATATCAAATTATGATTAATGTTACAATTTGAATTATAAAAAGATGAACATTCAACGAATGATCAAAATTACAGATTTTATAAAATTAAAGATTGAAATTACAAAATTAATAATAGCGGAACAAAAATTACAAATGTGATATTATAAAAAATGAAAAGTATAATTTAGTCAAGAAATTAAAAAGTGAAAATAAAATATGCTAAATTATACTTTTCATCATTTATCTTATTTTTTAAAATTTATTTTGGTCCTTTATTTTTGAAAATGTTCATTTTAATTCATTATTTGCCAAATTTAAGTTAATGTAGTCATTTTAAATCTTTTTTTTAGCGGATTCAAAATTTGAAACTTGTCTCGTTAGATTCAAATATATAAAAACTATTAAATACAATTAAAATTTAAATAAAAAGAATTATATACATGATGAAAATAAAATATTTTAAAAATTTTCATTTTATATTATTTTCTAATTACTCATAAAATATTTTTTTTATTATATTTATAGTCTTATTGAATTTCAAACGTCAGTTATATTTTATGATTTTTATATTGTGAATATAATGTTATAATGTTAATGTTTATAAGTAAAAAATTGATTAAAAACCATACTACAAAATTAAAAAATGATTATTATTTTAAAATAATCAAATTGATATAAATATAATATATAAAGGATTAAAATAAATATTTTAATTGATATAGGATAAAATGAATCTTAAAAATTAAATAAAAGAGGAAAGTATAATTTAACCAAATTAAATATTAATAAAAGATAAGAATAAAAAAATATATTTTTAGTGAAAATAAGATAAAAGAGAATGAACATCAATGTTATGTTATGTAGTGTAACACTACAAAATGGTCACATATACAAACCTATTACCTGTCGACACCCCGGTCTTATACTTCACTAGTGTTGCACTACACCAAGTAGATTAGGAGAGCCAATTTGTTTTTGAAACAGCTCACTCGGAAGCAGAAGAAGCAGCAGAAGAGATGAATATGCTATCTCCATCAACTGCCGCTTCTACTTATCTATCACCTTCCGCTTTTCTTCCCCGCCACCCTCATGGTTTCATCTCTCTCTCTCTCTCTCTCTTTTCTCTCTCTCTCTCTCTCTGACATGGGTTTCTCGTTTGGTTATCAGGGTTCTCTTCTGGTACCTTCAAATTCTCCAACAAAGAGGTTTGTTTTCCAACCATACCCATTTCCACTCCCACTACACAATTCTAACATTTCAACTTTTTTTTTTTCTTCTTCTTACAATAGGAAAAAAAACGATAAAGTTAATTGATATTTTTTTCATTGTATAATGTGCCTTTAGCTGTTGCTGTTTTAAGTTTTATCCCATGTTGGAATTCCGTTCTAATTGGACAGTTTTTCCTAGTTAGATAGTGCGCACTTTATTGGTTGAGCTCTTGTAAATAATTAGAAAGTGGAAAGCCTTTATTAATGTGCACAAGAGAAGGCTTAGGAGTAGGATATATGATGGCATGGGCTTGTTCTTAGTCATGGACAAATGCATAAAAGGTTGCCAGTTGATTTGACAACGATATTGAAAATATGAGGAGTGCTAGTAACAAATTTTCTTATATACTACACTGTTGGTTAAAATTTATGAATAACTATAAAATCATAAGTGAAACTCATTAAATAAGAAATGTGACTTACGAAATTTATGTTCGGCAAATAGTAGAGTGTTCAAAAGAGAGTGACATGGATTGTGTTGTTAGCATTTCTCTTACAAAGGTCTATTTGGATAAACTTTTCTATAAGTACTTCTAGAAGAAAAAAAACTGAAAGAAAAAATGAAATAAGGTTTTACATATATTAACTAATTTGTAGAAGCTTTCTGATATTAACGTTTTCAAAAATTCATTTTTAACTTATGCTTAAGTTAGTTTTAGTTTGTGGAAAAGTTTGTTTTATTTTTTCTTCTTATTTTCTTTTCCATATTTATCTATGGGATGCTGTAGGAAGAGCATTTTCATTAAAATGACATTCTAATTAGTTTCTTACACCTGTTCAGCATTTGAAAGAGGATATGGACATTTTTTCCTTGTGGTATTACCATTGTTGTCTTCCAGAATGTATTTAAGGGCTTTCAAACACTGTTCAAAATACATGTTCATTTCAATCTCCAGTCAAATGTGAAATGTGCGATGCTAGATGGTTTTTTTACTCACTGAGGGTAATTTAGCTTATCTTTGGAATCCATTATATAAATCTTTTCATGTGTAACTCAAATCTGTTATCACCTGCTGGCCTAGTATCCTTTGGTGTCATATAGTTGTTATTATGTTGTTGAAAGCAGAACACTTCAAATCCCAAGACCAAAGGAAATCTATAAATAAAAAGGAAGCTTCCAAGATATGGATGCAAAATAAGAAATAAAGTGGAAATTGACTTATTACTGTTAGCAAAGCGAGTTAATGAGAAGGTGCTAATGAAATTGATGGGTTAAATATGAATGGTTGAGAATGATGGTTTATTTCTCAATTGTACAAAGTAATACAGATGGTAAAAAAACTATCCTTCAATTTAACAATAAATGGTTGAATTTTTCTCGAACTTTACTGTCAATATAACACTTATATGGATTACTACTACATTTTTATGATTAAAAGTTTCTGACCATGTCTGTAACTTGGGGTATCTGTCAGTTCATATCAGACCTTTACTTTATTTCACTGGCGGAAAAAAACATGTCATGCTTAAAATTTTTCCTATTTAAAGTTTTCCCCATCTACCTTTTCATGTTTTTAAAGGGAAACAATGTAAGAAGCATCTCGTTTTCTTGGCCTTTTATTTTAAGAAAATATGTTGAATACTGCAGAGCAGATGTATAAGGAAAGCTGGATGTACCAAAATCACTGCAAAGTTAGAGCTGAAACCACCACCATATCCACTGGTAAGATTTAATGTTTGTCCATTACCCCGTTTACCTAATAGAATTACGTGTGCTAGGATCCAATAGCAATAGGACTTGAGGTCCACATTGCAAGTACAGTATTCTGGTGTGGGGATTTAAGGCCTTGAACTTTCCAACTACAATGGTTAACTTTTGTGGCATGGTTCTCCCAAGGTTTTAATCAAATTGTTCTTCTAGTTGGCTAATTTTTATTGGCACCTATGCTTCAAATGAAACATGCGGACTCCCAAATATTAGATTTAGACTGGCTTTATCATTTTCAAATTTATATTTGTTATTGTTAGAGGCCAAATTACAAATAAGGCAATGAAAGTGTAGAATAGGGAATTACTTGTATTATTTACAGGAAATAAAGGAAAATGCAGAAGGAATGAATCCAATGGCCACAAAGCTAGGCTCCTACAGAGAGGCTAGTGCCCCCTGTCCATAACAGAATTCACAATACCCCAAAGATGATTCTCTTTTTCCTCTCATCATTCCCTGTATACCTCAGTTGTACTCACATTTGGCAAATCTGTTACATCCATTGCCACCTCATCCTTACTTTTCTCACCGAGCTTCCTCCTAATATACGTTTAAGTCCAAACCTGCAGTACTGGTCGTATCAGTATTCCTTTCTTCAAAAGGAGACTTGATGGCACATTCCCTGAGCTTATGCTGTGTATCCATCTTCCCGCCTAATGTTCATGGTTTTTGTCTTTTCCACTAGCCAGCCCATCGCTCTCACCAATTTTCTAGAGATGACATTATGGGTTGTTCCACTGTCAATTAGTACAAGAGTAGGAAACCCATTAATTTGAGCTTTCACCTTCATTATTTGAAGCTTCTGATTGTTCACCACCATAGTTTTACCCATAAACAACATACTACACTCTCCGTCATCTGCTTCTTTGACTATCTCCATTGTAGTTACGACATTTGCTTCACTGCTTTCTTCCTCCTCTTCCTCAACTAACGTCACCTTCAACTGATGATCAAGGCATTGATGACTGGGATGGAAAGGCTCGCCACACTTGTAGCATAGTCGTTTCTGTTTCTATTCATCCAACTCATGGTATGATAAGTGACACACCCTTATCTCGTGGCATGAAATGACATTGTTCTCCAGTGGGTTCGGATTCAAAATCATTTCTGGTGCCCCCTTCTCTATTGGTTTGGACTCGGCAATCATCCAAACCAGATCCCTAGCTCAACCCATAAAACGTATTGAGTTGAGATGGGCTTGTAAAACCTCTCCTTGACCGTGGTGCTCAAAATCCAGTCCAACTCCCTTTTTTATCTTGCAGTTCCAGCTCTATTGCTGTTTCCAAATTCATCATCCATGAGCGTGGTAGTGGCCCCAAGGTACTCATGCTACATACATGCCCTTTGATCCCATCTTTTAGTCCATGCACAAAATACCCAAAATATTGATCATCAGGCAAACGTGGCACCTAAGCTGTGAGTCGTTCGAACTCAATGATTTACTCCTCCACACTACCATCTTGGTAAATAGCTGCTAACCTTTCGAATATGTCACCCTCACCTATGCCACCTTTCCAATAACTCACTCTTAAACCGCCCCCATGTCAAACAATCATGCTCATCAAGAAGAGATTTGAAAAAATGAATTGTGGAATCCTCAACACACAACTGAGCAAAATTCACCTTCACATCCGAAAGAGTTCCTTGGACCTGAAAATACATATCTGTGTGTGAAATCCACCCAGCAGGGTCATCAACGTCGAACATCGGCATCTCTACCTTTTGTACTAATCGTCGAAACTCATCTAGCTTGGTCACCGACGCATCACAATTTATTGCGCCACTATTGCTGGAAATCATCTCAACAATCCATGTGTGGTTCTCTTCAGCCTTGATCTGCATAGCTTGCATGAACATTTTGAGGCTTGCAACCTCTGACTCAAAGGCTGCAACCTTTGCTACCATTTTCTTCGGTGGCATTCACTGAGAATTCATTGTTGGCTTAGTATTCGGCAAGATGGACCAAGTTGTTACGAAATTACAAATAATGCAATGAAAATGTAAAATAGGGAATGATTTGCAGAAAATAAAGGCAAATGCAGAATGAACCAATCCAATTGCTGCAGAGCTAGGCTCCTACAGAGAGGCTACTGTCCTCTATCCTTAACAGAATTCACAATTCCCCAAAGATGATTCTCTTTCTCCTCTCATCATTCCCTATATACCTCAGCTGTAATCTCACAAGTTTCGCAAATTTGTTACATCTGTTGCCACCTCATCCTTACTTTTCTCACCACACTTCCTTCTAACATACACCCTCTAAACCTTGGGCCTTCGATTAAGTCCAAACCCGCACTGCCGTTCCTATCAGTTATTTATTCTTTCTTCAAGAAAAAAAATTAAAAACTCTGGAATTAAAGAATTCAAGCATATCTATTTGATTTATTGCAAATGCACAGGCATATATAACTCAAACATGTCATTGTTTGAATTTGAATGTAAATTAGGAAAATGAGAGTTTTATGCAGTTATACTATTTCATGGTTATTTTTTCAACTTAAGAATTTCCATAACCTGTGTTAAATGTAGTTACTTCCCCATTTTTATTTTACGCAACTAGCAATGTACAGTGTACAGTCTTGATCTGAGTAGCTTTGAAGAGGCTTATTATTATTATGAACATGAATGGCTCATTGGGGATTTTGCCACTTTGATTTGTTATTTATTTATTTCCATTTCCATTTGTTTTATTTTTCTAATAATATTCTGTTCCTTTTTATTCCTTGCCAGAATCTTTTTGCTGTAGTTCAATAGTGATTGGTGATTTTTCTTTAGTTTTCATTGTTTCCCATTTCTTATGCTGCTGCAGCTATTGCTTTCTAACCTACTCTGGTTCTTTCTTTATGTTAATATCGCATTGAATCAGTGAACTGTAATGGAGACTTGAATTTCCCATTGTTTGAGCCTGATCTTCCCTGCTTTACCTTAATCATCCTTCACTCCGTTGGGCAGACTTCAGTTTATTACAACTAACTGTTTAATTTTGGCTAAAATACTCTTTTACTCCTTTTTTTTTTTTATTTAATCAGTTCAATTTGGTCTCTTGATTTTTAAAAAATGATGTAATGTGATTCTTTCCGTTGAATTGAAACTAACGACATTAACTCTTTGTACATTTGGCGATAGTTTCATTGTTTTTAATGGGGTCACGTATACAAGGAGTTTATGTCGTTAGTCTCAATTGGATGGAAAGGATTACATTGCATCGTTTTTAAAAATTAAGTGACCAAATTGAACCTTTTAATAATACAAGGACCAAATTAAACTAATTAAATAAAAAGAGAGACCAAAAGAGTAATTTAGCCTTTAATTTCTTTCTGTGCACCATATCAATTATACTGAACTGATTAAACAATGCTACAACTACAAGAGTTTCATGTAATTTTTGTAATGACCTACCATATATCTTGTACTTGTGAAGATTTTGATCATTATGTTGGACTGATAACACATATTTTACCAATACTATCATAATGAAAATTCTCAGAATGCTTTGGAGCCAATTATGAGTCAGGAGACACTCGAATACCATTGGGGGAAGCATCACAGGACTTATGTAGATAATCTGAACAGGCAAATTGATGGAACAGATCTCGATGAGAAGTCGCTAGAGGACATTGTAGTTATTTCATACAATAAGGGCGACATTCTTCCAGCTTTCAACAATGCAGCCCAGGCATGCATGCTTGTAATTGTAAAGTCTTATTCAGGTTTCTAAACCATTGCTTAGCAATCTTGTTCCACTTATTGCAGGCATGGAACCATGACTTTTTCTGGGAATCCATGAAACCTGGTGGTGGTGGAAAGCCATCTGGGGATCTTCTAAAGCTAATTGAAAGAGATTTTGGCTCATTTGAAAGTTTTCTTGATAAGTTCAAGACTGCTGCTTCAACTCAATTTGGTTCAGGATGGGCATGGCTTGCATGTGAGTTGATACCCTTCTGACCCTACTCTAATTTTCTGGCATTCATTTTTATTTTTTATTTTTTGGTATACCTATCCCCAATTAGGTAAACTTCACCAGAAGCACTTTTAGGAGAGTAAATTAGGAAGAAAAAATAAAATAAGTTTTTTCATAAGCAATATGACACTTCTAGGAGAGCATAGTTACCCCCTGTAGAAACTCTTTCTTATTGGTTTATCCAAAACCTTATTTTTAATTCATGCATAAGCTAGTTTTAACTTATAGAGAAGTTTATTTTGATTTTCTTTTCTATTTTTCTTGATGCTTTCGGAGAAATTTATCCAAATAGATCCCTAACCTAGCAAGTAGCTTTTACCCTTCTTTTTCCTTTTTCATTTGTGGACTATAGATAAAGAAAGCAGACTTGATGTGGGAAATGCTGTAAATCCTCTTCAATCTGATGCGGACAAAAAGCTGGTTGTGGTGAAGACTCCCAATGCTGTGAACCCACTTGTCTGGAACTATTATCATGTAAGTAGTAGTAAAGATTAGTTACAACATCCATCATTTATTACATGTTCTGAAATATGAATGCTAGGCAGGTTTTAAGCATTATGGTTAAAATGCCTGACTAGATTTCATATTAATTCTTGCAGCCACTCCTTACCATTGATGTTTGGGAGGTACTAATAAAGTTTTCTTTATGTTAGATTTGAGAACATTAAATCAAGTTTTCTTTATTATTTCATTTCACTGAACAAATTTGCTGACTTTGTAATAATATTTCACCTTTATACAGCATTCTTACTTCATTGACTATCAGGTAAGATGTAGTTCAGAGCATTAAACAGTGATTAGTGGCTACTATCTTTGATAATTCTGTTCAATAGATAAATATATCAAGTAAACCTCCATTTTAATCCCTGAATTTGTAGGATTCTGTCATAGCAGTTCCTGAAATTATAAAAATGTCAAATAAATGTTTGAATGTTAAATTACTGTCATTTTAGTCCCTAATTATCATTATAGTTCCTAAATTTTATAACTTATTATCATTATAGTCCTTAATGGAATTGATGGCGGAGACTTACATGACAATCGAATTTCAATTTTAGGGATTTTTTTGATATTTTACCAATTTCAAGGACTATTATGACATTGCCTGACAAATTCAGGGACTTAAATAGAGGGTTACTCTAAGTATATCTGACTGCCTTTGTTATCTTTGCAGAACAAGCGCCCTGATTATATATCAGTGTTCCTGGATAAGCTTGTATCTTGGGAAGCAGTGAGCTCAAGATTTGAGCAAGCTAAGGCTCTAATCCTGGAGAGAGAAGAGAAAGATAAGAAAATAAGAGAGGAAGAAGAGAAACTGAAAAGTGGTGAAGCTACTGCTGAGATATATTCTGATAGTGATGCTGACTTGGATGCAGAATGAATGATTTTTTCTTTTTTTTCATAAAGATGGAGTTTAAAATAGTGTATCCTTTTGCACTAGCTAGGTGTGATATAGAGGTTGAATCACTTCAAGCTGCAAATTTTGTTCTATGATAAATGTTGTAATTTAGTGCTTCATAGTTCATACATGCATTGATGGCATAAAGTCTGATTTTATGGATTGTCTTGCAGGAACCAATTAGACTTTGATGTTGTCAGAGTAAAAAAAAAAAGAATTGTATTTCTTTCCGAAAGGTAAAAGAATCTTAGTTGAGCATTGATAGCGGTATTTCTCGAGCCTATATTGTATTTCATTGCTGCGTCTTTTGCCTTGTAGTCAAGTAATATGATTATTGTCGACAGTCTCTTAATGTAGCAGTTAGTAATTTTTCTTTTATGATACACTTCATACCATGTTCAATTTTTAATACTATGTCGTATATTCTTTGAGGACAAAATAGACATTTACTAGAGTAAGTTTTAAGAATAAACCATCGAAGATTTAGTCCATTTAACAGATGCCTTGTTTCATTACAATAAGCCATTTAACAGACTTTAGAAACGCAAATGCCTCTCCTTCACGCACTTCCATCAAAGATTTAGTCCAACCAGATTGAGCAACCACAGAGCAACCAGAGGCCCCTAAATCATCTCTCCAACATTACCAAATTCAGTAACACCTGATTCCTTAAAAAAAGCGGCATCAACATTGCAATTCATAGAGCCTTTGGAGGTTTAGTCCATAAGACAGTTTCTTTACCAACCCAAGAATGGTTAAAGTTCTGATTAAGATCCTTGGCCATTCTCCATTCTGATAGAACTAGTTGAGCTCCTATTAATCACACCAACATCATACTCCTCAATAGGGTGCCAAAGCTCCTCATTTCTCTTCCTCCAAAGTATTATAACAACTCCGCAACATTTATGCTCATCAAAGGTATTGCAGCGTCTGAATATTAGTTCCTTGAAGGATTCAACCTCCTGCATTAGAGTGCCCAACCACCACCACAAACTACTCCGAATCCAAATATCTCTACTGCTTGGACAAGTAAGAAAAATATGCCAACAATTTTCTAGCTCTTCCTCACAACGCACCAGGCAGGACAAGAAAAATATTTTTTTTAAAAAAGTTAAACAAACCAGCCAAGATGGTAAGCTAGTTTGAGTGAACTGTTTCATTCCACTATTTTCTTGCTAGATGACAAATACAAGAATGTTGAATTCTTCACCAACAGTATGTACTTCTCTTTCTCTTAGAAAATCTTATACAGTATTAAATTAAAAAATCAAAGCTGTATTCAGAGCAATGTGAACATTACTATTTACACATAAGAATGTAATCATGAATGAACAAAATTGTCTTGCTTCCATCATCTTAATGGGGACACCTTGAGAGACAAGAGGCTAGCCAGATCTGAGATCTCAGAAGTGTTAGTGACAGGTCCAAACACATCCCAAAAGCGGAGAGTTTCATCTGCCCCAGCTGACACCACTGTTAACCCATCTGGACTCTGCAAAACATAACAAGAATCTAGTGTAAATTTAAAGCAGTAATTACCTTATTCAACTTTAAATTGTTTAATTCATGTGACGAAAGTTGCATCAACATAATGTGTCACTTGTGTAGGAACAAAATCCAAACACCAACATCAAATGCTATTGTTAATTGCATGCTTTGCATTACTAGCCTATCAAATTCACATTTGAACATTGTGCTAGAGTTTAGATTAGTCTAACTTGCAGCACACCTGACTTAGATGGAGGACTCTGGAAGCATGACGGTCCAAACCTCCCACTTTGGTCATGGATGGATACCTCCACAAACAAATTTGGTTGTGATGTGCACTTGTACTAAATCCATGACCACTTAATAGTTCCTTGTGATGTCTATTCCATTCTAATCCACAAACCTGCATAGAATACCAAATTACTGCAGATAATTAGGTACATCTATCTATCATTCAGCTAGAAAACTTTTTTGATGCACCAGTTCAAAGGACTAAATGTTAAGCAATTAAGAAATGGTGATTAATTTTTTTTGGTTAATGATAATGCTTAATAAACTAATATAATAAATAAGACAGTTACGAAAACAAGGAAAACAAATAACCATCTTGCCTGAGCATTGGTATCTATGCTGCAAATGCTGGTTCCTTTCTTTATATTCCATATCTTGATACATCTATCTTCAGTGCCACCTCCAGAAGCAAGTACACCAGAATCGTAAGGACACCAGGCAAGGGCCTTGACTGCAGCAGAATGGTCTTTAAAGCAGTGCAAGAATTTGGATGAACTCATTTTAGTCAAGTCCCATACATAAATATGATTTTCATTTCCACCACTTGCTAATATATTGCCCCTTCTTGACCATTTCAAACCACAAACCTCTCCTCTGTGTGCTTTTAACCGGGATATCACATTTCTTCTTGCTCTAACTGCTTACAAGAACATGAAATATCAAGATGTTATGCTAATTCATCACTCTCAATACATCCAAAGGGTTAAAGGAGCAACTAGTTACCATCATGATTAATTATATTTTTGTCATGGCTTCCAGAAGTTAAAATATGACCATTCCAAGCAATGGTTGCTATCCTTTGACCATGACCTTTCAGGATTCTTATCTGAAAGTTAAAAACTATGAATTATGTGTACCAGGTTGTATAAATAACTATTTGCTAATCTTAAAGAAGCCAGATAAGAAGAAAGATGCATACAGGTTTGGAAGTTTCTGCATCCCAGAGTTGAAGTTTAGAGTTCATAGATCCTATTGCCAAGTATTTGGCATCATTTGACCAGGAAACACTAGTAGGAAAATCATTGTTAGTGTCATTGAACAACTTAAACACATTACTATTCTTTGAGTTCCAAAGGTACATGTCTGAGCCCAAAGCAATAGCCAGAATGTTGTTTTCCCCCCAATCCATGATGTTTGCATAGTAATCATTTCTAATATTTGGTGCATCCAATATCCTTGATTCTCCCTGTAAGTGTAGTTGTTCACTTCATCCGATTAGAGAATACAGCATAAGATCATGGCTTTGTATATATTGGATAATGTAGCGAACTTGAGGAAAATACACAATTTAGACATTTTTCTCTCTTTTATGTTATACAGATAGTTTACAATCAACAATTACTCCTCTTATAACTTATATTACAAGTTTGTAAAACTTAGTCATGTTAGGATTTACTAGCAATGTGATAATACTAATAGGGTCTATCAGAAACATTAAACTATCTGAAGACAAAAAGAAAGAAAACAAGAAAACTAGAATCCCAAGACATTAAATTCAGCCTTCTTATAGCCTCAACTCCTTTACCCAATACTATAATACCTTTATCTTCATTTATGATGTAATACCATGACATATTGAGCTGATGATTTCTCTACTCCAATGATCCTATCCAAACATGAGTGTTCTTTTAGCGAAAATGAATGTCTTGTAGTCATTGTTTGGTAATAATATGATTGCCGTTGTTGTTTATCAATCAGATAAATAGAAAAACATTACATTCAATTCAACCCCATATTTACTAAACTTCGTAACCTATTGTTTGCTCCAAATATTATAGTATAGTACATATCTCTCTGGTGTCTATCCTTGTCAATATCAACTGATGAACTTTTAGCCAACAATCAGAAATGTAAGCATTTATGCTGATATGGTTATAGCCCGGATAATAAATTTTCCTGTTGTTGAACAAAGTCACACCAAAGACAAATGAAGGTGCATTTTGCTTAGACAGGGATATACATTTTATCACTCACAGCAGTTTTTAGCAAATGGATAAATTGATCACTGTATCTAAAAAACAGAGAGATATGTATTATATATATATATATAATAAAATGAAAGAAATTGGAATAAAAAAATTGATATGAGCGGAACCTTAGGCAGTTTTCTAGGATAGTGGTGTTGATTGCAAGTGTTTTGCAATGCCGCTGCTTCTTCCTGTCGCATCTCATCGATAAGACGAATGGATTTTCGGCTTGATTTTGGACTTCCCCTAAAAACTAACATCCTAAATGGCTTTCCTTCTGAATCCAAAGTTAGTTTCTCATCCACTACCTGTCTGTACACTTCCTGTCATTGAAATAAAGGGGGAAAACACACACATACACACAGAAGATCAAAGCCTCGATACAAGCGAATTCTCTAAAAAGGCAACTTCAACAATGAAAATAAAAAAGTAAATGAACAAAAAGATTCAAAATCTGATGCACCAAATGCTCCAGAGGCCAGAAAAAAAAAATATTTTGTAAATGTGGTAAAAAAAATCGAGTCACCGTCCGAAGGAAAAATAAAATACACATTCAAAAATTTCAACAAGAATGGATTTTCTAGAGATTTGAGTAAAAAAGTTTACAACTTTAGAACCAGCGAAGAGCTTTTCAATCTCATTTAAGAAGGGGTGTGTGCAGTCCAAAGAAGCCCCCCAAGAAGTTCAAAAACAACAAGAAAAGAACAAAATCAGAAACAGATACAAACACTTATTAACATACATTGAATTGTTTATTCTGAATTTTTTTAGTCCTGTTTGTGAGCAAACTCTGGGCTTGATCAAGATCCATCAAACTTCTACTGGGAATGAAGCGGTCTCCCTTCACATAATTAAATTAATGAAAGTAAATAAAACAAAAAAAATTGCAAGATTGAAATGGGATTTGAGTAATGGAATGTGATGATGTGTGTACTGGAAAATCATAATGGGTGGGAGTGCTGAGGAGACTCTTGGGAGAGTACCAATCTTGTTCAAGATTCCACATTGTTTTTTATTATTATTGCTTCCAAGAAGAAACAAGACCAGGGTGAGAGATAATGGACAAGTGAATATGGTGGTTCCTCTCTCTTCACCCGCCAAATTCAGTTACCATTCAAATGATACTTTTCTGATCGTTGCTGCTTTCCACTTAAATAATAAAAATGCATTTGCATATTTAAGTTAAATTGAAAGGTAGTTATAATTTTAGTATGATAAAAAGGAATAAAAAGACATAATAAAATGTGTACACAAAAACATTATATCAACTTCATTCATTGTTATAGATTATAGATTAATGAGAAAAAAAGGCACTACATACACCCATTAAAAGAGAGAGAGAGAGAAAATAATAAACTTTTCATGATAGTTTGTACATTTATTATAATTATTAAAGATAAAATGAAAAATATAAAAGTGAACACCGTATAATTATTAAGGATAAAATGAGAAAGATAAGGGTGAATGTCAAATAAGAAAGTTTCTTTTATTATTAACATAGATTATTATTTATAATTTTTTGAGTACATCACGAATTTTATTTTTGAAATTGTAATGATCGGTTAAAGTGCTATCTAAAATTAATAAAATCACAAAATCATCGTATACACTATCAATTGATTTGTCTTTGAAACTATAATGGGCAGTCAATTTGGTATTTAAAATGAATTAAATAAACATAGTTTAAATAAGTTTTTTTTTCTCTAGTAAAATGAATAAATTTTGATTTTGATCACTATTTTTTTTTATTCTTCTAAATTTTATAAACATTTTTTTTTATTTTTGTAAAATGGATAAGATTTAATTTTGGTCTCTAAAAGATATTTTTCTTTAATTTTCATCCCTATAAAATAACTACTTTGGTCACTAGTTATCATTTTAAGGCATACAAATATTATTTGTTTTAAGGATCTATAATTTTTTTAGAAGTGTTATATACCAATAAAATATTATGGAAAATTGTGAGTATCACTTGGAATGATCACTTAATTTTCTAATAAATGAAGAGTAAGTATTCATTTACTTTAAGAGTAAGTCTACTTAAAATTATTCCATTTAATAACTCATACTTTACATCAAATTTCAATAATTTAATCATTAAATTAAAATTTTTTAATACATAAATCAAATTTATAAATTTTAAAAAAATTAGAATTATTTGATATTTTGTTTCATTAATTCAAATTGACAGATAATTATAAAAAAAACTTTATAAATTGATTTGAATTAGTGAAACGGAATATTAAATAATTTTTATTTTTAAAAAATTTGCAAACTTAACCTACGCATTAAGATATTTTAATTTTAAGGTTAGATCATTGAAATTTGATTCAGAACATAAATTATTAAGTAAAATCTAAATAAATTTATTCATAAAATAAAATAAGTATATCTCTCCACATAAACAAATGAGTCCTTAAAAACATCATATCTCTTCAATTTTGTAAAACCCGCAATTCTTATTCAATCATTAACATCTTGACCTTTATTATTCTATACAAGACTATGACTTCTGGAGTTGTTTTTAGAAAAATGTTACATGAGGTTGTATCCTGTGTGTGTATGGCATTTGACTATACCAAAGTTACTAGCTAAGCCAGCACACAATAAAGGAATCAAATCATCAAATATATGGCTCACAATGAATTGAAAACAAAATATAAAAGCTGACGAGTGTCCTCTTTAAAAAATTTAAAGTGATCTTTTTTTTATTAAAAATCATTGTCAATTTACTTTTACTGTATTTTTAGTATATTCATAATGTAATTTTTAATAAGATATCTCAAATAAAACAAATTGAAAAAAAAAGTTACATTGATAATTACAATATTAAAAACGTTTATTTACTTTTAAAGATAAAGACATTCTAAAAAGTACAATTGGAACAAAACATTTTTACATATATATGTGGTATAAATTCAACTCATCCCGCATTCTAATTTTTTGGTTTTTTTTAAATAATCATAATAAAGGTACCTAGTACTAACCGTAAAAATAGTAATTTTTTTTTCTTCGAAAAATGTAAAATACAAAATGAATATTCTTTCAAACATAATTTATTTCATATTTAAATTCAGCATTTGTTACATTCATACATAATGATACCATGAAAAAAATCATATTTTATTAAACTCCAAAACAAAAATAAAATAAATCGTAAGATAAATAATAAAGGAAAATCCCACAAAAAGAAAAAATCTAACAACGAAAAATATTGACCAATTAGAAGCATCACAAAATATTTTGAATCCAGAATTTTATTACAAACTTAATTATCATAGGATCGGCCCAAGCATCAATAAAATATAAAATCACTACTTTAGGCTTTTCTATATATATATATAAAAAAAAGTTACATTGAGAATTACAATATTAAAAACTTTTATTTAAAATTAAAAATAAATACATTCTAATAAGTACAGTTGGTATAAAACATTTTTACACACATGTTATATAAATTCAACTTATCCCCGCATTTTAATTTTTTGTTTTTCTTAAGGAACCATACCATCAAAAATAATAACTAATTTTCATCAAAAATCATAAATATAAAATGAGTATTCTTTCAAACATAATTTATTTTATACTCAAGATGAGAATTTGTCACATTCATACATAATGATACCATGAAAAAATCATATTTACCAGACATTTCTATAATAATAATAAAAAAGTAAAAAGTTCTAAGCTAGCATTAAACTGCAAAAAAAATAAAAAAATAAAAAAAATAATATAAACAATAAAGGAACATTCCTCATGGAAAAGAAAGAATCTAACAATTAAAAATGTTGACCGTAATATCTCTTATTAGAAACATCACAAAATATTTCCAAACATGAGATTAATAAAGTCATTACTCTAGACTCTTTTAAAAAATATATTTAAATTCATATTTATACAATTTTTTAAAGTTAATAACACAAAAGTTACTTTTTATATTCTTAAAAGTTTATTCTAAAAGATATATAAATATAATTATTTTTTTATAAGAAATATTATTATTAATTTGAAGAAGAAAAAACTTCACTTTAAGCTTAGTTTTATGATTGATCCTGCTTGCAGGCATATGAAATAAGGTGATTGACGTAGAAAAAGGTGTTAGTAAATATATTATAGAAAGCATCATAAAATGCATAAATATAACTAAAAGGAGTGAAAACCATACATGATTTAGGAATTAGGACTACTGATCAACTGCTGAACATTTAAACGAATGAACACGACCCCCAAAGCCTATTAACTTGCTGAAAATAATAATCTTCTTTAAACCCAGATTTCCTACTCAGGATATACAATAGCATAACAACTAACCTAGTTCAAACTATAGCATAGAAATTGATTTCAGCAAATACAAAATTCAATACCACAACTTGAGTTCAAATCCTTTATTTTAAAGTCTACTATATATTGAAGTTGATAATCTCCGAAGTTCAAAGAAAGAACCATACATATTTGTCCCATCACCAAGGTATATGAGCAAAGCTTAGGTATATACAAGTCCAGTAACTAACCAGTCAATGTCAATTGTGCATACCACAAATCCTGAGTTGAAAAGGGCAAGAGCAATAACTTTGGTATATATGCAGAAAAAGAAACATTGTTTCCAGCAATGGAATTTATTATAATGGTAAATTAAGAATAATTTCTTGTCCCCATCATCTCATAAGTTGGTAATCAATTATCATTCATTCATTAGTATGGCCTGTATCGCATGGGTCGGCTAGACCTAGGAAACCTTCTGCACATCAAAAATATTTAAATGTCATATTCTTTGACCTTAGAAGACATCAAAATTATATATGCACACTATAACATAGACAATTCAAAGTAACACAAACCAATATGAAATTTCAAAATAAATTGTTTTACTTTGTTCAGTTTCTGATAATTTCTTACCGAAAACCATATGGACGATAGAACGAAGGAGGTGATCTAAATCTTGAACCAAAAGGTCTTCTTCCTCTATGTTGTTTCATTCCAGGAATGTTTGTACGCTTAGCACAGACCTGAATGGAAAACCAGAATATACATAAAAGAGCAAACACATACATTAATCCCTGAGATTGGAAGACGTTTTAGAACTAAAAAATTCTCAAATAGATTCCTATAATATCAAATAACTCCATAATTCCATAAAGTTTATGACATTGTCTTCTAAATTCAAGAATCAATTTGAATAACTCATCTATGTAAAATTCAAATGAAAAAACTAACGATTACTATTGACTAGTAACCTAATTAATTGCATTTAAACAAATTATCAACCCAGACCTTTAGTTTTCGGCCATGAAGTTCTGATTCATTTAAAAGGAGAGCATTCTGAACAGCACTGATTTCAAGAAACTCGACATATGCGAATCCTTTTGGTTGACCATTTTTGTTTGGAATCGTCACTCTATTAACGGTTCCACATGCTTGGAAAAATTGTCGCAGTTGTTCAGACGTACAAGCATAGTCGACCTAAAGATAATTACATTCAATAAATAACCTTATTGAGTTAAATAATACATGTATATGGTTTTGTGCAAGCATGCAGCAAAAGTATCATTAAAAAACTTGCAAATAAGTCATATAATCTATACTAATATATAATAGGAATACTCTTTTTAGTAATCACTTGGTCTCCATATTTTGTTCACCATTATATCCTTCTATTTTAAAAAATTAGAAAAATAATATATTTAATTAAATTCAAGAACTTGAAACTAATAGACTAATTATAACACCAGTTAAACCAATATATTTTTATTATTATTATTTTATTTTTTTTATCTATACTAATATATAAAGGGATATTCTTTTTAGTAATTACCTTGGTCTCCATATTTTTTTGATCATTATATCCTTCTATTTTAAAAAATTAGAAAAAATATTTTTAATCAAATTCAAGAACTTGAAACTAATAGACTAATTATAACACCAGTTAGACCAATATACTTTTATTATTATTTTTTTATTGTTTTATCTATACTAATATATGAAGGGATACTCTTTTTAGTAATCACCTTAGTCTTCACATTTTGTTGACCATTATAACCTTCTATTTTAAAAAAATTAAAAAAAAATATTTTTAATCAAATTTAAGAACCTGAAATTAATAGACTAATTATAATATCAGTTAGACCAATATACTTTTATTACTTAATTTGTATTTTTATTTTATCCTTGATAAAGGCACGAAGTGCCTCGACTCTACTAATTATTAATTAATAGATTACATTTTCTATATTAACGTAATAAATAATGATTTTATCATTATTTTTTTGATGTTTTAAAAAAATTATTTAAGAAGATGTGTTTTTTTTAGCTAATATCCACTATTTTTACTATGTAATAATAATTTTTATGTAAATTTTATAATTATTTTTACTTTTAAATTGTAATAATTTAAAATTAATATAATTAATGAATTTTTGAGAAAACTAGTTGTGGAAGAAATTATTTCTCTTTAATCTATATTTTATGTAACTTTTTATTTAAAATTATTTTAAAAATGAAATAATTGATAATAAGTAATTAATGTATTAAGATGTTATTATAATTTACAATATTAATGTATTATTATTTTTATTTTATAAAATATTATTTTACATGAAAATCTTCTGGCTTAGTAATGTTGAATATTTTACTTTAAAAATATTAACATAAGAATATTAATATTTTTTAATGTAAAATTATGTTTAATTACATTTATTATATTAACATAATAATTAGTAATTTTATAATTTCTATTTATAATATTTTAGAGAGATAAATTTGTTGTAGAAATTGTTCACTATACTAATGTGCTATTTCTTTTGCTAATATTCTTTATTTTTATTTTTTTTGCATATTATCATAATTATTTTTTTTGTAAATTCTATAATTACTTTTTTTAACTTGTAATAATTTAAAATTAATATGTTTAATGTTTTATGATTTTTTAATCTTTCTTATATTAGATTATCATATTACATAATTATATAAATAATACAATTTTAATTTTATTTTATGAAATTTGTATATAGAAATATGTTGGAAAGATGTTTTGGAGAAAAAATATAACTTATTCCCTTTATATTATTAATAATTAATAATATATATAAAGTTTAATTTAGTTGGTGGGCTATTACAATTTTTTTTTTTTGTAAAAGCAAATTTCTTACTTTGGTCAAATCCATTTGACAAAATCCTAAATATGTAACAAACAATATAATATGTAGTTTCATGCATGAACAAGTATGCAATTTTGAATTGATCTTGCGCTGATGGATCCTTTAATAATGTAGAAACATAAACAAGGAAAACTTTCCAATAAACAAAAACAGAGGGCCAAAACATATATTCCTATAATTTAAAGTTACTAGAATCACCCAAAGACCAAAGTTATGTGTCAGTTTTAAAAATCATGTTTGAGCTTCCAATCAATCATCCAGGAAACATGTGAAGTTTAGTAGGTGAGACAGCTTCTTTACATGGGCACACAAAAAACTTGCCCCTTTCCTTATTCAATTCTCAGAATCTAGCCAGAATGCCACTTTCATGATAAAACCAACTTGCTGAAAAGAGGAGAGAAATCAAACAACTTGGAAGAAAACACCAGGCATGACAAGTAACATGTTGATGGTGGCATTCCTCATATTGACGTTGATTTCATCAACCATCCCAACAGAAATTGATTAAGGAACCAAGACGTTGTGTAAATAATGAGGTTAATTCAATTCTACAAAATAAGTTTGTAAGGTAGGAATTACTCCTCATATATATTTTTTAATTATTTATTTTTAATTTATATAAAATTTGAGTTTTTTTTAATACATAAGATAAATGTTACTTTCTACTTATATATTTTTTAATTATTTTATTTTTAATTGATGTAAGACTTAAATTTTTTTTATTATATTTTTTACGAGTGATCTTTTTTAATGATCTATGGTAAGTATGACATGGTTTTTTTTCTTCTTCTAATATATTTTACGTCCAACATCATTAGACTTGTTGCATGTATCAATAGTAAGTGATATTTTTTAGTAGATCTAAAATGCATGAATATCGATGCATATATAGTATATCATATGGCTTACCCAAAACTTATTACTTCAGGCTAGCTAGAAAATCATTTCTAGAGAACCCAGAATATCCAATTTCATTATAAATATGAAGCCAATGAGACACCTTGGTCAGTCAAATAACATTTTTTATATTCAAGTTTGTTTAAATCAGAATAGAATATACTCATTAAAGTATAACACTAATTAGGAAAGCATGCTATAATTTAAGGGAAACAAGATATCTTCGGATCATGCATATCTCAGCAGAGTTCATGCTGCTCAACTTGAATGAACTTTTACCTCCTAGTTGCCATTATCTTGACATAAGTCAAAAAGAACTTTAGAATGGAAGCATCTTTTTCATGCCCTTTTTAACTTGCCCCTAAAGTACTCTACTGCATGTAATCATGTTATGGGATCACCCATGGTCCCCGATAAGACCATAATTGTTAGATATCCTACGTTGTCTAGAAATAAGGTCATACTAGTATATATAAATTGGGAACAATCTTTATTTCATAAATCGATTTTGTAAGGTTGAATTAAATTGTTATCCACTATGTAAAAATATCATTCACCTTCTTTTGATCCCTTTGAAGTTGAATTATGGGGACTCCTCCTTGACTCTAGCTAGTGATACTTTTGCTCTTGCACATCCCAGTTGAAGAATTGGCCCAAATGTGAGCATTGTTGCTATCTTGTGCATACTATTGATTGTTGTTGGAAGTTATACGGCATGCCATCTTGTCTACTAGTGTGGTCTAAACACCACCCATTGTTAACCCATCTCAGCATAACAACCCTAGCTACACTATTAATCTTCAAAGATTTCCTCCAAAGGCATGAAAATCACCAAAATCCTGATGTCACTACTTTAGTTGCATACATTGGTAATTCTTTTGCTTGCCTATTTTAGACTCCTTTCCCTTTGTCCTAGGGTTGTTGACATCAATGCATCTAACCACATATTTGATAAACATTTTTTATTCTCTTCTCTTTGTACATCTCAAAATTTACCAAGAATCACTATAGGTAATGGTTCTCAAAAGGATGGACACTACTCACACACTTCCTTCTCTAATAGTAGAATATGTTATATATTGTAGATATTCAATTTCGTTCGGACCAACAAAAGCAATGAAATGGACATCTATCATCAAAGAAATGGAGCTCCCAAGCATGGAAATAACAGGACATGACATCAGAAGACCTAAATCATAAAACCTATCAGAAAGGCACATATAATTTCCATATCCCTATGATTATTATAGCAAAAAAAAACCATATGTGCAAGTATAGTTATATCCATATCTAGAAATCATTATTTCTAGACATTCAAAAGAGGAATGCGACATACCAAATTATATGTAGGTGTTAAGACCACTCGAAAAACATGAGACTCGAAGGTTACATTTAATTGGCCATTCGAAAGAATGATATAGGGACGACACTTATCGGGAACCTTATTTGTTTGTATTCGAGACATGGTCGAATAGAAACTGGTCGAGTAAAACAAAGAGATGCTCGAAAAATGGAAGAAAGAGGCTACTAGAGGTTTTCAAGTAGTGTTTGATTATCCTAGTGAAAAATAAATCGAAGAGATAAAAACACGTGGGGCGAACGGTTACGAGAAGTTATATTTCAAACCCACGAAAAGGATGTAGTGACGAATGGTTACGAGAAGTTATATTTTAAACCCACGTAAAGGACGTAGTGGATGGCAGTTATGCGCCCATGATGGATTCACGTAGGAGTAACCACCCTCGAGGAGAGTTTATAAATACGAGAACCATACCCCATACAGGAGGCTGGAAAACTCATACTTGAACTGAACTCTCAAGCATTCTCCGCCTGCGCATATGGCTTTCGTGCAAGGAATTGTTTTTGGGTATGACTACTTCTCAGCCACTTTTCTTTTCTCTTTTTAGGATTAGAATTAGTGTAGTTTCTTTTTTGTTAATCACGTAGTTTAGTTGCATAATTATGCTTCAGCATTTCAATTGTAATTCTATGCAAGTGAACCATGATCTGTATTGCAAATATATGTATTGTTCATTCTGTTCATCTGAGTATTTATGTGCATGAAAATTATTACTTGTTAATTATTGATGAATATTTAGAAACAAGTAATTATTAATCTCTCTACTCCATGTTCTCTTGTTCCTCAAAATTCAAAACGTAATATACCTAAATTGAAACATTTGTCGTGCTAGTTCGAATAAAAAGAATCCATAAACGAATTCCACCATAAACAAATTGGCACGCCCAGTGGGACACGTTTAATTCCAAACATAATTGAACTAGTTTTAGGTATGCATGTTGTATGAGACTTAGGAGTGGAAGAACCATGTTTACGTCTAATAATTCTAATAGCAGGAATAATACCAAGTAGATGTAGAACACGGAAATCCTAACTCAGATGATGTAGTTGTTGTGACAAGGGGGCAACATCACCCCCTGTAGTACTCGAAAACGTGGCTAGGAAAACCAATGTGTCCCAATAACTCGTAAATGCCACTAGAGAATATCCCTGGGGTATGCCACAGAATTGGCGAAAAACCCAACCTGTACACGTCGAAATGTCAATGCCCTATTTAGGACCAAATTCACAAATGCATGTATTCCCACAGGGTTATAATCCTGGTCCAAATGGTTTGGGTTTTGTCATGCAAGACCCGTACCAAGACGTAGGCACTAGTCACGAAGGATCTCTGGTTCAACAAAGTAATTATATTCCCACGGGGATTAGTAATCGAGCCATGATGGCTCTTCGACAACAGATGGATCATAGTAATCATGACATGGTCAATTTGTTGTCAACTCAAATGCATAACCTAATGACTCCCCTGTATGAATTAATAAACAAAATAGGAGATAAATTGGGTGATGGCCCACCTTCGAGAGTCATGAGTGCAAATCTAAATGAGATGGAAAATCTAGGAGGGAATGGAGTTATTCCTCAAAATGAAGGTCAACCTAATAGGATTCCCAATGATAATTTAGATCAAATTGTAGAGAGGGTACTAAACAGGCATGGTTTCGAAGTAGGTCGAAATGAACGTCCTTATTTTGTGTCTACTTTTCCGGATTATATAACTCAGGTAGAACTGCCTAGGGGGGCAAAGGTCCCAAAATTTTTGAAATTCTCGGGAGAATTAGATGAGTCTACGGTCGAACATATAGCTAGATATCTAGTCGAATGTGGAGATTTAGCGAATAATGAGTATTTAAAAATGAAGTATTTTCTGAGTTCGCTGACTAAGCATGCTTTTACATGGTTCACAACGTTACCTCCTAATTCGATAAACACTTGGGCTCAATTGGAAAGTAGCTTTCATGAACATTTCTTCAAAGAAGAAACAAAAGTTAGTATAGTTGATCTAATGAACGTTAAAAGACAAAGCCATGAAACATTAGACGACTATTTGAATAGGTTCAGGCAGCTAAAATCTCGATGTTATACTAATGTACCTGAACATGAATTAGTTAAAATTGCTGCAATAGGGTTAAATTTCTCGATTCGTAAGAAATTAGTGAATGAACAGTTAAGGGATATGGCTCAGTTGGCAGAAAAGGTAAGAAGGATCGAACAGATTAAGTTAGAAAAGGAAAGATTAAGAAAGTTTGATAGGCGGGTTCGAAAAGAAAAGGTAGCCCATTTAGAAAACGCAGAGATAGGTGAGGATGCTAATTGTGAGATCTCGAGTGAGGATTTTGAGGTTAACATAGCAGAGTTACGTCCTGGTCCTACTTATCAATGTCAAATGTTAAAACTAAGAGATAATATGGAAGGAAGTTCGACTAAGAAATATAGTTTTGACGTGACTAAGACAGATAAGATATTCGATATTTTATTAAAAGATAAGCAAATTGCACTCCTAGAAAATCATAAAATTTCGCCATTCGAGCAAAGAAAAGGGAAGAAATTTTGTAAATACCATAATATGTATGGTCATTGGACTAATAACTATGTGGTTTCAGGAATATGATCGAGAAAGCAATTACTGATGATCGCTTAGCTTTCGAGGAGAAAGACATGAAGGTGGACACTGACCCATTTGCAACTCACACTGGATATGTAGAGCCAGTTTCGATGGGAATCAATATGTTTGAGGTTAGTGTTGAGGATGATAAGAATATTGAGCCTATTTCTGATGAAAAACTCGAGGAGTTGATGGATGATTTTGCTAAGGAAGAAGAGCCTATCTATCCAAAGGAGGGAGATAGCCTGGTCGAGTTTTTATCTAAGAAAAAGGAGGCTGATAGAGAAGTCATGCTATTTCCTCGATGTAGTGCTGTTTTCGATATAGCCGCTGCTAAGGCTTTCGAAGAGTCAGAGATCATGAGGAACTACAGAGCTAAAAAACTTCGAGAGAAGGTTAAACCCAATACTGGGTCGAACACTGGTTTAATAATGAGGCAAGTACACATGCCTCAATATAATGCCCTTATGGGTAAGATGGAAATGTACAATTCATCGAAATTCGGCAATACTTTTGTGCCGAATGCTAACGTCCCAATAGGAAAATGGAATGCCCCACCAAGACAAATGGTTGGTGGAATGGGTCGAGGAAAGCAAGTTATGAATTATGCTGGGCCTACGTTCCAAGGAATTCCCGGAAAGTTCTCGAATGTATCTACAGGGCCTGGCAAATTCTCAGCTGGAAGTTATGGACGTGGTTTTCGATAGTCCTTTAATAATCCAACCTAAACCTAGTGGAGAAGGCAACAAAGAATGAGGAAAGCTACCTTTGAAGGTTTCAGAGGGAATCATTTTTCGATCCCGGTACCACAAAAAAGGTGAGTCGTCTCGAAAATTCATGGAAGATGATGAGGATCTGATAACTGACTATTTCGAGAGTGGCTTCGATGAGTCTCTGGAGGATATCTGTGGGATAATATCAATTCTGTCTTCTGAGTATGCTGGAGCTATGGAATCTGTTAATGAGTAGGAGGATATCCATCGAGAGGATTTTTTGGATGATCCTAATTATGAGTCCAAGATTGTGTGGGTTAATCAAATTTCGAGGGTTATTCCCAAATTTAACTCAGTTGTGTTTGATTCTCCTACTGAAGAGATGAAGGGTCATCTTAAGCCTTTGGTGTTAACCTTGATGATCGAAGGGCATGAGGTAAATAAGGTTCTAGTTTATGGAGGAGCAGTTGTAAACATACTTCCGAAGACTATGCTGAAAAGGTTTGGGAAGTCCACGGCTGATTTAAAGCCCCATAATATACTTATTTCAGATTATGCAGGAAAGTCATCCCACCCTGAGGGCATGATTTTTCTCGATGTTCAGATCGGAAGCGTGAAAAGAACTACTATGATCGTAGTAACTCCAACAAAGGCAAATTTCAATGTCTTGTTGGGGCGTGAATGGATTCATGGGGTGGGAGTTGTCCCTTCAACTCTTCACCAAAAGATTTTCTTTTAGAATGATGATGAAGGTTTGGAAGTGCTCGATGCGTATCAGAAAGAGTATGAGGTAGGAATGTACTTCGCAGATCAACAATTAACTGCATTTGCGAAAACAAGGCCTTTTGATGCCCACAATGCTGGTGTTATGAATGAAGAAGAAGGTGTTAGGAAAATATTTTGTTGGGATGTGAAAAGAGGTTTTGTAATTCGAGCGAGAAAGAATCGACTCCGGTTGAAGAATGAAGGATAAGGATCCTTATTCGAGCTTTTTAGCTCGAATGTCAGCCTACATGGCCGATCGAACAGCCAACATGACAGAGGACAAGGAGGTAATGTCGAACGAATCCAGAAATGATGAAAATAAGACGGCCACTATGGCCGAAGAAAAACAAAAAACAAAGAAAGATCGAATGGACCGCGAGGTCGAGGAAGGAAAAGAAAAAATAGAGAAAAATAAAATGGACCAAGAGGTCAAAGAAAATCGAAAAATAGAAAAAGATAGAATGGACCAAGAGGTCGAGACTTCGAAGGAAGATAAAGAGCAAGAGTCAAAGCTTAAGTTAGATTGTATTTTCGATGATTTGCCATTGGGATTCGAAAGGGCGACCAATGAAGAACATAAGTTAGAATCTCAGGACCCACTCGAAGAAATCAATTTGGGAACTATCGAAAATAAGAATGTTACTTATATTAGCAACTTCTTGCAAGGGAAGCTGAAGGAGGAATTAATTCGAGTATTGCATGAATATAAAGACTGCTTTGCATGGGATTACGATGAAATGCCGGGATTGGATTGAGGATTGGTTGAGCATAGGTTACCCATGATTCCTAGAAAGAAACCTGTTAAGCAAAGCCCTCGAAGGTTCTCTCCTGAAGTAATCGAAAGGATAAAAGAAGAAATCGAGAGGTTATTGAAAGCAAAGTTCATCAGAACCTCAAGATATGCTGAGTGGATATCGAATATCGTGCCCGTTATAAAAAAGAATGGAAAACTCAGGGTATGCATTGATTTTCGAGATCTCAACACAGCTACCCCCAAGGATGAGTATCCTATGCCTATTGCTGAGACTATGATAGATGCTGCTGCAGGTAATGAAATTATGAGTTTACTTGATGGTTATTTTGGATATAACCAAATTTATATTGCAGCTAATGACGTATCGAAAACTGCTTTTCGATGTCCAAGTGCTTTAGGCGTGTATGAATGGGTGATGATGCCATTTGGCCTAAAAAACGCAGGTGCTACTTATCAGAGGGCGATGAATTTAATATTCTATGATTTAATTGGTAAGTTTGTACAAGTTTATATTGACGATATAATTTTTGGGTCAAAACGAAAAGAGGAGCACTTATGCCATTTAAAATTATCTTTCGAGAGAATGAGGAAACATGGTCTAAAAATGAATCCACTAAAATGTGCTTTTGGTGTTACAGCAGGAGAGTTTCTGGGATTTGTCATACACCAGAAAGGGATCGAAGTGGATAGAAACAAGACTAAAGCTATCATGGAAACTAGACCTCCATCGAACAAGAAAGAACTTCAATCTCTCTTAGGTAAAGTAAATTTTCTTAGAAGATTCATATCAAATTTATCTGGCAAAACTAAAGTGTTTTCTCCTCTATTGCGCTTGAAAAAGGAGGAAGAATTTCGATGGAATCAAAGCTTATTTGGCTCATCCTCCAGTGCTTGCACCACCCTCTAAAGGAAAACAACTGAAGTTGTACATTTCGGCTAGCGATTCGACTGTTGCGGACATGCTGGCGCAAGATGATGATAATGGCATCGAAAGAGTCATTTATTATTTAAGTCGAATGTTAGTAGAAGCTGAGAATAGATATACTCCTTTAGAGAAATTATGTTTAAGTCTTTATGTTACTTGTACAAAGTTGAAGTATTATCTTAGGCCCTACGATGCTGTAATATTTTGTCGAAGTAATGTTATTAAGTATATGTTGTGTAAACCTGTCTTACATTCTCGAATTGGAAAATGGGCACTCGCATTAACTGAATATTCATTAACTTTTGAGCCTTTAAAAGCAACAAAGGGTCAAGTAATTGCAGATTTTCTCGCAGATCATTCGGAAATAACTAAAGAAATCAATTACTTAACCAACAAACCTTGGGAATTCTTTTTCGATGGCTCGAAACATGAACTAGGCATCGGGATAGGTTTGCTAATCATTTCTTCTGAAGGAATTCCAACTAAGTTGTCATTAAAAACGAACAGAGGATACTCGAATAATGAAACCGAATATCAAGCGCTCATTACTAGACTCGAGATCCTTAAAGAGTTTGGTGCTAAGAATGTGGTAATTCGAGGAGATTCACAACACGTCATTAAACAGCTAACTCAGGAATATAAATGTTTGAATGAAAAATTAATTGAATTCAAAATTCGAGCTGTTCAGTTACTAAATGCATTTGATGAAGTTGAATTACAACATGTTTCTCGACACGCAAATACAATTGCAAATGAGTTGGCTCAGGTATCATCAGCTTACAAAGTGAGTAAGGAATGCGTTGAATTCCTAATTCATACAGAGAATGAATTATGTCATCTAGAGAGTTTTAGTGTCAGCAGCAAGATTGGAGAAAAGAATTGGTCGAGTACTTGAAAAATCCAAATTTGAAAGTCGAAAGAAAAATTAAACTCAAAGCCCTCAATTATGTCTTGCTAAATAATGAATTATACAAAAGAGGCTTCGATGAGATTTTGTTCAAATGCCTCGGAAGTCATGAAAGTTATATAGCTATGGCAGAAGTACATGAGGGTATCTGTGGAGCACATCAAGCAAGTGAAAAGATGAAGTGGACCTTGTCGAGAAAAGGTTTCTATTGGCCAACCATGATTAAAGATTGCATCGAATTAGCAAAAAGCTGTGACGAATGTCAAAGGCATGAACCAATACAAAGGGTACCAGCAAGCGAGTTACATTCGATTATTAAACCTTGGCCATTTCGAGGCTGGGCAATTGATATAATAGGGTAAATTCACCCACCCTCTTTGAAAAATCATAAATATATATTAGTTGCCATAGATTATTTCACAAAATGGGTTGAGGCAATTCCTTTGAAAGAGGTTGAGCAAAAAGACATAATTGATTTTGTCAAAGATCATATTATAACAAGGTTTGGAATTTCCCAAACAATTACCACTGATCAAGGCACAATTTTTACGGGTCGAAAGGTTGCTCAATATGCTCAATCACAGGGAATTAAGTTAATAACTTCGACACCATACTATGCACAAGCAAATGGACAAGTAGAGGCTGCTAATAAACTTATTCTCAGTCTGATTAAGAAGCACATCTCGAGCAAGCCTCGAAATTGGCACGAAACTCTTGTTTAAGTATTATGAGCTTACAGAAATTCATCAAGAGATGCCACAAAAACTACCCCATACAAACTAGTGTATGGGAATGAGGCTATTCTTCCTATAGATATTAATTTGCAATCAATTCACATACAGAAACAGAATGACTTGCCTATCAAGGATTATTGGGATTTAATGTATGACGAGTTAATATCTTTAGAGGAAGAAAGGTTGATAGCATTACAAAATATTATTCAACAAAAATAAAGGATCGAGAAAACATATAATAAAAGAGTCAAAATGCAAAGTTTTTGAGTTGGAGACTTAGTGTTAAAAGTAATTCTTCCCATGGATCAAAAATCTCGACACTTGGAAAAGTGGTCTTATAATTGGGAAGGTCCCTTTATAATCGAGCAAGTATATTCGAAAAATGCCTACGTGATTAAAGAAATAAATCTGAATACGACAAGTAAAGTGATTAATGGGAAATATTTGAAATATTTCTATAATAGATCAGAGTCTTGAAACAAATATTCAGAAGAACATGAAATTTAAATGGGGTGTTCAGAAATTTAATTATTACAAAACTTGGACTTAAAATCCCTATAAGCTTGATAAGCTTCGTCCAAACTTTGTTTCTGAGTAGCACACTGAGCCTCTAGGTGTTTCTTCTGCTCGAGGGTCTTTGCAAGTCTGGAAGAAATCACCTTGTCTTCTTCTTTGAGGTTCTTTTGACGCTGAATAACCTTTTGGCTTTGAGCCTTTAGAGTTGCTTGTTTCGAGCGGAGGTTATTCAGCTCGTGCTGCAAGGCCTCGATTGATGTTGTGCAATCTACCTCCTCTTGTTGTAGTTTCTTCAAAGCAGGAATCATCCCTTCGGTAGATTTTCTGATGGAAATCAGTTCCTGTCGAAGATTCTCAAGCTTGGAACGATCCCCCTTGCTCTCGACTTCGATCTAAGCCACTTCTTGGAATGAGGTGGACCATTTGGACCGGAGATCCCAAGCAAGGCTGAATGGCTTGATAAACTCTTGAAGTTCGAGGTAAACCTCAGGAGTGAGGTCCGGGTAGGATAGCAAGTCATCAATCATCTGTTGAACCTCAATTTTGAAATCCGGAAGAAAAAAGGCTTGGTCGAGATCTTCCACATATGCCTTCGACCGGAAAGACTCTAGCAGCGGTTGAAAAGTAAGAGGTAGTTGAGGAGCTGCTTCAGGAGCCTTCTTTGAAATGGAGGTGCCACTAGTCCAATCGAGGACATCGAAAATGTTGTTGACCTCTTCGTCATCATCTTCATTAAAGAAACTTATTAAATCCAGATCCGTAGAGGGGATCGAGGACAATGGTGGCACTGAAGACTCGACACCTCCTTGGGCAGATTTGACACCACCTTGGGTTGAAGGAGAAGCGGTAAAAGGCTTAGGAGACTCAGTCGAATCTGCATAGAGAAAAGGAAAATATAAGAAACAATATAAGAAACATAGTTCTTTATGAATGATGATGAGAATATACCTTTATTTGGACTAAAAGGAGGCTTAAGCTCGAAAGAAGGAGCTTCACCTTGTGAGGATTGATGGAGAAGTTCCGTATTCACCACAGGTTATAAGGAGGGAATTTTCCCCTCATCAATTTGAGGAGGAATCTCTACCGAAGCTACTATTGAGGCCATCTCGGCAACATTTAGTTGAGGGGTTTCCAACTATAAACAAGTGATGAGATTAGAAGAAAAAGACTAAGGAAAGGTATAGAAAAAGGAAAGATTAGCAAAAGTCGAACTTGTTGAGATGACCCAGTAATAGGAGGAATATCTATGGACATTTTCCGAGAGGAGTCGACTTGGATTATCTCGACATCCTATGACGAGCAAAGATCTTAGAAAAGCTGAAGAAATGGGAAAACTGAATCGAAATTAAAAATGAAAATACCTTGGGGACCGATTTCATAGCATCCTTGAGAAGTTTCTCGACAGGAGGCTTCTGAGTCTTCTTAGGGAGAGGGATCACTAATTTCCCCTTCCCTTTATCTGGTTTTTTCGTGGTCGAAATCTGAAGATAGAATGAAAATCGTTATGGTCGAGACTTCAAATAGAGAATGAGAGGAAAGGAAAGGAAAAGGTAAAGACAAAAATGAATTACTCATAGTCTTGGTGCTTGATGAATCGGATTTTTGTTTTTTGGAGGCTTCGAGGTTTTGAGAATACGAAAAGAATCAGGAGGTAGTGGGAGGTAAATCCAGAAATTCGATTGAAGGAATAGATCGAAAAGAATTGTACCTTGGAGCGCAGAGAAACCTTGTCAGAAGCAGTCTTTCTTTTTCGACTTTTCAAGGAAGACCCTTTGTCATCATCATCATCACTTTCCCAGTTGGGAGTCTCTTCAACATGTTGAGGAACACGTTGAGGAATAGCAGCTGTATAATGCATAACATAGAAAGAGGATGAGATAAGTACAAAATGGAATTCGAGAATAGTGTTTAGTCTAAGTTATTTACCAGGAGGAGGATTGGTATTATCGACCCAACATAATCGCCACCATCTCCGTCGAGGAAAATCGTACACGGAACATCTCGCATAGGTAACTCGATCCTTTACAGGAATCTCTTTGCATTCAAGGTAAAATGGGTCGAGTGTTTTCACCCAAGAAGGGCGAGATAAGTGTTTAACTAAATCAAAACGAGCATTTGGAAGAGAGGGAATATTTTTGGGACAAAATTTTTCAAAATCAGTTTTCCCTCGAGGATTAATCACCTTTTTCGCGCGGATGTTCCTTTGTACCATTTTCGATAAAGAGACAGACGCATCAAAAATGGTTCGACCAATGTTTTCAGGTCGATAAAAAACTTTAAAAAATTGTTCGAATTGATAAATAATAGTTTAGTTCTTGAAAGTACCTGATTGCTTCGGGCCCTGCGAAGAAAAAGGAGAATTAATCAGCTTCTTCAAAAAACCATCAAAGTCGATAATTTTATCTACATAATATTCACACCACCATCGAAGATAACATCTTGAGACTAAGGAGGGAGAGAAAGTATATGGTGTGAGCTTAAGTTCTTTTTTGGGACGCAAAATGAAATCCAGAACTTCCTGATAGTTCCCTTTTTTGACACAAATATCAGCATCAATGCTTTCTTTACATCGAAGAGGGAGAGGTTTCATCTAGCAAAGGCCGAATTGTCGAGCGAAGATCTGAGGCTGATAAGGATAGATCCTCACATCCTTTTGATGCATGCCAGATATTATTACATCCCAAGAAGAAACCCGAACCACATTTTGAGAGAATTTAGAGAAATTTGCCCGACTTTATTATTCTGTCGAAGCCAGGATGGGCCCATCAATGTAGTTCGAATGAAAGGGGCTAAATCTTCATCAAATTCAGTGAAGCTGAGAATAG